AAAAAAATAGTTTCAGTGTTTTATCAGTGGATATTATTTTATTTCAGGAAAAAGAGATAAATTCAATGTTGGGGGCACTTTGCCAGCCAGTCCTGCTCCAAAGCCGAGATTGTTGTTTCCCCAGGCCGGGTAGTTTTGCACTAACAAAAGGAAGCCTTCATCCTTAACGTTTCCCATCCCTTTCATCCATTACATCATAATTTTATCTTCCTTCTTGATAATTAGCTGATGGATGTCAAGGTTACATTCCTGGGTGAGGTCCCTTTGTTTCAGAATGAGAGGCGGACTGGTCTGTTTGAACAGCTTTCTGTGTTATGAAGAAAGGCTTGGATTTGTTTGGACCTGTCACTCTTTAAGAGAAGTGCGGAACCAGAGAATTGTAAAACATTCTGAAAGTTGGTTGATTTCCAATTATTTATTTGGGGACAAACATCAGACTAGACAAAATTGAGAGAAGACACAATCACAAATAACATCTCCCTTTTGCTGCAGCTGAGCTGCACGTTCCAGACTTTTGGGCTGTTGATGCCATGAAGCAGTAAAGCAATCAGCTTAGCAAACGATAATGACCTTGCTTCCAATTTCGTACAGAGAAATTGGGAACCTGAGGCATACAATTGCTCATTGTCCCAGCCTTAAGACCATTGACCTTGCATTCAAGATTGTGCAGAATTGTGGTAAGTTCTTAAATTTAGCCTCAGATTTGCTACCAGTTTCCCGGACTTCCTTTAAATAGCTGTGAAAAATCAGCTTTCAAATTGAGACTGAATTTAGTTTTTCCCAAATTGTGCACGTTGTTAAATTTTTAGGTAATGGTCTTAAGGCTAGGACCCATGAGCAATTTGGAGTCTCTGAGTGTTTCCATTCTTTAAATATCTTCAAATGTAAGAATAATTTGGCTCCACAAAGTAATACTGAAACTTCTATTAAACGGGCTGCTCGTAAACAAGCTATTTGCACGAGAGAAAAGGTTTACATTGTGAAACAAATTTAAATTAGATTGTAATAATACTTACATTTGACATTGAGCGTTATAGTAAAGTGGAGTAATTGTAAAAGTGGGCAAATGCAGCAGCCAATTTGCACACAGCAGTGTCCCATAAATACCCATGGAGTGAGTGACCAATTTTATTTTATTTCCCTGAAATCTTGACTATATTTAACAAATGTTTAGACAGTTTTCTTTTGTCTAGAAGTTTAGAAAAACCTTTAATCCTTATCCATGTGTAAAAAAAACAGCAGTCATTGAGGTAGGTGAGGGGGGAGAGATAGAGGACTAATGGTATCTAGTAAACATACCATACATAAGAATGCCATTAAACAGTCTCTGCTAATTGCTCGTTTGGGAGGATTGATCTATTTTAATGAAATCCTAAAACAAGAATTTTGGAAGTTCAGATACTCTAATCTGTGTGCATTTTTATTTTTTACTCTTTAGATGAAATGGAAAGGTTTTTGCTGAGATCTCCTGGAGTTCAATATATTTGCATCAAATACGTTTTTAATCTCCTGGTTGATTGCTCCCAGGCTCTAACACATGCTGCTGTATTTGTAACTCCAGCACCTTTCATCATGTTAGATAGATGTTTAGGAAACTGAAGCTGCCTTTCTAATCTATGAAAAGCCAACCTGAATTCTGCAAGGCCTGCGCAAGGAAAATGAAAGCAGACGATAAAAACAAAACTGACAACTTGCAAAAGTGTGCTTTAAGTCAGTAAAACTGACAGTGTTGTTGAAAGTACAACAGGGACATTGACTTGGCTCCAGATGTGACAGGCTCCACTATTAGACCCTTGGTGTGATAAACCCACCCTCTTTCTCAGGATTGATGTTTTGCTGCAATTGCCTGATCATGTTTCAGGAAGTGGCCCCCAGAAAGAGCAGTGCAGAAGACCATTGACTTGTGATCTTTGACCTCTGTTGTAATGCCACAATATAGATTTGACCTCCGAGTCTATGAACTAACTGGTTAAGTGACTGGGCAATGCATTTAATGAAGCCAGTATTAGATGATGAGACCTGAAGAAAGAATCAAATTGTCTAAGAACTGATGTAAAAACCCACAATAGATGAATGGCTTCACTCAGCCCCTAATTAATTTTGTTGTAGTGGAATGGATGATTCTAATTTCTGTATAACACAATTACTCTACATTGTGCGAACTCTAATTTTTTGATTATTTTAATTCTATCAAGTTTCCTGGTTCATTTTCTGCACCAAAAGATTCTGAATGCTGTCGGTGGAGTGATTGTAACATTTTAAGGTCCGTTGACCAAGTCTGCGCACGAATCTAATAACTTGGTGCAAATACAGAGTAGAATAAATTCTGAGCGTCAGCACTGAAATTACTTCTCCATTTGTAGCCAGGGTTACTCACTTCAGCCTGCCATGGTCCTACCGTTTTAGTGTTCATTCCAGACTGAATGTTCAGAACTACTGGGTTTATGTTGTAATTTAAGGAAAGATCAAGAAGTTACTGAAGTTCAGTCTAAATATGCAGAAGTAGATTAGAGAAATGGCTGTAAATGTTAAGGTGAGTCTAATAATTCACTTAACCCCGAACAACATTTTTGCTTCTCATCAGCGTCTCCATGCTCCCTCTCGGTGACATCATTTGCAGACATGGGGTCAAATTCCACATGTTTGGCGGATGACACCCAACTATATCTCTCTGCCTCCACCCTGTACTCAAGGCCTACTGCTGTACTGATAGAATGTCGGTCAGACATCAAGTCCTGGATGAGAGCTAACTTTTTTCTGTTGAATGTCAAAAAGACCGAGGGCCTCCTGATTGGCTCCTGTCAGCACCTCCACAACTCAGGCGCTGACAGCATCACCATCCATGGTTGCACACTCCACCTTACTAAGCCAGTCCAGAACCTTGGCATCTTGTTTGACCCTCAACTATCCTTTCTACCCCATCCGTGCCATGACCCGCTCTGCCTTCCCCCATCTCCGCAACGTAGCCCGGCTTCGCCACTATCTCACATCGCAGGCCACCAAGACCCACACACATGCTTTCATTACATCGAGACTTGACTATGTGGCCTCCCCAACTCCTCCCTCCATAGGCTGTAGGTCATCCAGAACTCTGCATTCCGTGTCCTTTCCCGCACCAGGCTCTGTGACCCTAGTTCCCCCTACCTCTGTGACCTCCTAAACCCTTACCATCCTGCCTGCTCCCTTCGCTCAGCACACTCCAGTATGCTTCACACCCCCCGCCTCACCCACCCCACCATTGGCGGGCGGGTCTTCTGCCACTCTACCCCCACCCTCTCAAATTCCATCCTGGAATCTCTACACCTCACCCCCTCCTTCAAGACCCATCTCAAGACCCTCCTCTTCAACTCCACCCTCCACAATCCCAACCCCCAGCTCGGATCTGAAACACTGATGGTCCAGCGCCTTTGGACGTCCTCCCGACATGACAGGCGCTATACAAATGTAATTTTGTTGTTATTGTTGCTATCTGTTGTATAAAAAAATATACTATTCTGGGGCAAAGGCTTAACGTTTCTGTACAAGAGAGGAATATGAAGTGGAAAGCTACAAACTAGCTTTCAGGTGTCAGCCTGATACAATTGGTAGCACTCTTGCCTCCGAGACAGAAGATTGTGGGTTCAAGACACATGTTGGGACTTTGTGCTCACAGTTCCAGGCTGCCACTCCAATACAGTGCTTGGTGTGCTGCATCGTCGGAGGTGCACTTGTTCAAAAATCTCATACAATGTCCTTTGAATAAGGAATCTAACAGTGTTGCATCCCCCACCCACCCCAGTACTGCTCTCACACTGGACTCTGCTGAATTCCACTGTGGTGTTTGAATCCACAGCCCCCTGAGTGGTAGATAAGAATATTACCAATTGAGTTCAGACAGAAAGTTCAAATATAAGCCAACAAATAGTTTAAATACTTGAATGATACAAAGTTCAGTGCTGGTGGATAAACACATTTCTGAGGGATTGTTCTACCATTTGACATTAGAATGTGACCAGGTGTAGAAATACAATGAATGATCAAGACCCCTACTACTATTTAATATTTATCTCTTTTGTGTCTGATTTTTGAACCTTCAACTACCTCTCTTCCCAGGGAAGCACTTTGAGACATCCTCCTGATTAGTAAAAGGCAGTACATAAACGTACGGTGAATGGTTGCTGTAGAGCGTATGTAGTTAAAAAACAGAATATAATTTGGGACATGAAATGTCAATCGATTGCCAGGATGGTGGAAGGTGAACTAGAACTTGGTCTTTTTTCACCTAGCAAATTTTTATGTTCTTATGAGCGTACCGGAGGACAAAATGGTATAGCGTCCTCACTAAAAAGTCGTTTCATAGGTGTTACTATGCACCGAAAACTCCATACCATAAACAAATGTATTTGTTCTGTTTATTTTAATATTCAAACAAAATACGGTATGCAAACACGGTGCTGCGGAAACAAGCACACAAGACCATTGACTATATACAAATCAAGACAGATACCAATCTCCAAATCCTTCCTTCGCTATCTGACTCCCAACCTTCTGCTTTAATACAACCCGATGTGAAGTTGGTGCTGATTCAGTATCTTCTTGCACTGCCAATTCCCTTCCAGCTAAGTGGCATTTAAACAGATGTTGGCTCTTCTGTCAGTCATATGATGCACTTTTCCCCAGTTTTCTCCCTGAAACAATGTTTTGACTCTAATAACCAGTGTTCCAGTTGTCTTGTATGTCTGACATAATCGCATGCCAGAATCTTGCACGGCAACATGTTTAGACACATAATATATTTGCTTGCTTCGATGTTTCTCTTAACTACTATAATCCTTCATCTGCAAATTATTAAATTATTTCACTACCAGGTTGTGGAAAATAATAATTAACAGATTAGTAAACACACTGGTAACTGTAACTGATTGTTTCCTTAAATTTTAGTCCCACCCCCAACCTCCTTGTTGCTTATTTTTCTGTTCTATCACTTTATTCATCGATGCCCTTTGTTTCTACTCCCTCAGGATGTGACATTATCTCTGGCACTTGTTCCACCCGGTCATTTTTCACCAATATAACTGTGCATTGAGAAGTCCAGTGTATAGGAGGTTTCAAGCAGTGACTGAGTTGGCTGATTTGGGTACGTGACTTTCATTTTTTTAATATTTCTTTTTCTACCTGGGTAAATTTTAATGTTATCGCAAGCATAAATGTGTCAGGGTCAATATTAATCCTTTAGCCAAATTCTTTCCCTCCTCCCTCTACACCCCCTGGCCCCCCAAAAAAATTATCTTTGGTTATTCACTTGTTTGTGAGATGTTGATGAAACTGACCAGTTGCCATGTTTGCCTACATATCATTTACTTCAGAGTCACAGCTTTTGTATAAATCCCTCCAGACATACGAGACATTTTATATTTGTATATTTGTAGGAGAAATGCAGAAGCCAATTGCGCACAGCAGGGTTCCACTAACAGTCGTAGATTGAAATTACCAATTTATTATTGTTTTTTTTGAGGGATAATTATCAGGCGTGTGGAGTAAGGAAATTTACCTGAGGTTTCACCCTGCCGGGAATCGAACCAGGTATCTCGCTTGCAAAGCGAGTGCTCTAGCCACTGAGCTACAGGACTCCACTATAACTTGATAAGAGAAATGCAAGTATTATTCGTTAATATTTTTCAGATGATCAACATACTTTCGAATAGTTTGTGAAACTGAGTTTGTTAAACTGTGCATAAGAGATCCCTGCTATTGTTACAAGAAAAGAGAGGGGGAGCTTTCTGCCAGTTAGTCTTGGCTTATATATCAATCCCTCAAACAAATAGACCCCATCCAATTCAAATGAGTGATCGGTTACTCATTAAATAGCAACTGGTCTGTAGCATTTCTTATTGCTGCCAAACATAAAGTATTCCAACACTTTTCACTTGAAAGGCTCCATATAATTATAAATTGTTGTAACGTAGAAACACGTAAACGATGAACATTTCTCCTGGGTGACAGAAAAAGGTTTCGGAGCAAAGCCGTTTTAAACTGCATTTTGTTACGAGTTGTCGTGTCTATAGCTAGCGTACTGCACAAGGCCATGTCAAAGCTTGAGTATCGGCCGTTATTCTTCCTATGAAGAGCTTCATTGTTATTGCCTTAAGTACTTTCGCCTGCATTAGGTACTTATTTTGTGTGTATTTCTTTGAGGTTCCCGTGGCTTTGAGTCAAACTGTAGAAACAACATCAACTTGCATTTATACAGCGCTCTTCAGTGGCCTGGCGTTATTAATCTCGCCCACAAATCTCCAATAATCTCCGCAGTTTATTTTTCTGCATGAAATGACACAAGACTTGTTAATGGTGCTTTCAGGTTATCAGCGGCACCATGACACAACAATTTAGCACTTACAAGAATCCATTTAGAACTGATCCTTAGCTCGCCCACCACCCCTGCTCTGTCTATGAGACTCGTATAGATCTCAGCTAGTCTTGTTGCCTGACTAATTTGAAATGTAAAGGCCGTACATGAAGTACAGTGAAGCGTTCCAGGAGCTACCCCGTGTGAAAGGCACTATGTAAATGTAAGTTGTACTGCGTACAGTTCTGGTGAGGCCACATCTGGAGTACTGCGTACAATTCAGGACATTGTGGCATAAGCGGGTTGCCCAGGCTCTTGAGGGGTTATGCAGTTGTGAAATAATTCTCCGTCCTCCATGTGCCATGTTGTTTCCATCGAGCACATATCGATGCAGTGTAATCACACGCAGTTGCCATTAGTTGCACATGCAAACTCCAGATTTGTTTAATTGCAGATAACAATAGCCAACAATTTATATTGTTGAACAATTGAATTTATATTGTGCACTTTACATGGGGTTGTGTCTTGAAGAGCTGAAAAAGTCAAAGAGGCATTGATGCTGATTCTGATGTTACACATTTTGATCCTGAACTGTAGCACCTTATTACATCAAAGAGCTTCAAAGAATATATTGTAAATTGAATTGACCATATATTTTGTGGGTGAAACATATGGCCGTATATGGAGTATGTTGAAGCACTCCAAGATGCTACCCCGGATAAAGGGCACTATATAAGTACAATTGTGGTACTGCGTACAGTTCTGGTGAGGCCACATCTGGAGTACTGCGTATAATTCAGGATGTCCTGACATAAGGGGGTTGCCCAGGCTCTCAAGTGTTTATGCAGTTGTGAAATTACTCTCTGTCCTTCACACTGGATAGCATCTTGAGTGCTTAAACAGATTGGTCTGATCAATTTAAACTCTGGTTTACATAGAATTGTCAGTGTCCTGTCTTCTATCATTGACTAAGCATATTATTTTGGGGTCAGCCAGTTGCCAATCCTACACTGTACCAATTGTTTTTTTTTGGTTAGACAGGTATAGTATATGATCATCACTGGGGACCAAATACTAAATGCAAGAATATTGTTCCTAGAGCTGAGCAGTCATTTAAGTATTTTTTTTAATAGCCCAAATTGTATCCTGGAGATCTGTCAATAATAATACTGAGGGTGTTGTTTTGGTTTTATTTTGAAACCTCCACACGTGAAGAATTATGTAGAAGATGATGGTTGTAAGTGTCGGAAATGAAGTGGATACAATTCGTAGTAATTATACAAACATGCTCCATTGCAGCAGAATACTTTCCTGGTACTGCAACAGTGAAAATTGTTGCTGTGTGCCTCATTCAGTTAAATGCTTCAACACTTCCAGAGAAAAGGATAGGGAACGGGTTTGACTACTTGAATGACTATGAAGGTATTGAATATCAAATTAGTTCCAGTCCATTACAATCTGTAATCCTATTTGTTTAGCATTACGGAAAGGAACTTGCAGGCGGCCAGATCATCGAGGGCATTATATTAATTCTCAGTGCATATCTTATGGCTTTCATATCAATTAATCACAATCAGGTCCCAAATTACCAGCAGCTAGATGGGGAGGTAATTGTAATGAATTGTTGGAATAATGTATGCCCGAAAAGAGCTGGCTGACCTGCTTGGTGCATGTTGAATTAAACTCGGTTTTGCATGATGATAATTTCTCTGTGACATTGAGGGAATGTGTGACACACACAGGGCTGGTCTCATGGTAAATGTACTGGCCTCTGTTTACCAGGGCTTCTTTCAAGTCTCTTACATTTATTCGATCTTTTAACTTCTCATTAAAATAATTCTTCTTGCCAGAAAGCCAGAAAACCAAGCGTTTCAGTAGCAAAAAATGGTCCTTATCTGCTACATAGAGATTAGTCAATGACTGGGAAAGTTTTACATGACTGCAATCCAACCAAGGGCTTCTGATAAAGAGTGAAACTTGAACAATTGATATGTTCAATTGAATGAAACATTCCCACATAATATTCTGAATAGGATATCTTGTTTGTCAGCTTGGCTCAGTTCATCACAATCTTGCCACTGAGTCAGAAGGTAATGGGTTCAATAACAACAAATTGCATTTATATAACGCCTTTCATTTTGGGAGGATGCCCAAGGCCCATGGCAGAACATGGTCGAAGCTGACACTCTAATGAAGTGCTGGGGGTACATTGCATTTCAGAAGTGTCGTCCTTCGGATGAGATGTTAAACTGAGATGTCAAAGATCCCATAGTGCTATTCGAAAAGAGAAGGGAGTTTCTCTCAGTGTCCTGGCCAACAATCCCCCAAAATAAAACTGGTCATTCGTTTCATGGCTGTTTGTGAGACCTTGCTGTGCACAATTGGGCTGCCCCATGTCGGGAATGTATTTATAGTAACCGTGTGTTTTGTAGGCGAACAAAAAAAACTAAAGTTTTATTTGGCTAGTGTCACTGAAAGATATTCGCTGTTCTGCATAGGTTATTTGTAGTGTGGTTGAAAACCTGAAACAAGAGTGTTAATACTACAATATCAGTTACGTTGACATGAAGGTACTATTCGTGGAACTGTTCACAATTCAGTTCATTGACCTTTCAATCCCATTAAACGTCTTTGGCCTTGCCACCCTACCCCACCACAATCAATTACAGCTATATGTTTAAAAAGAAGATATAATAATAATCCTTGCATTTGATATAGCGCTTTTCACGTCGGGAGGACGTCCCAAAGCGCTTCACAGAAGACACTAAAGTGAATTGACTGCATATTTGTGGGCGAACGCGGCAGCCAATTGCGCACAGCAATGTCCCACAAATTGAAAATGACCAATTTATTATTGTTTTTGGTTTTGGAGGGATTATTATTAGGCGTGTGGAGTAAGGAAACTTGCCCAAGGTTTCGCCCTGTGCCTGGAATTGAACTCAGGTCTCTCACTTGCAAAGCGAGTGCTCTAACCACTGAGCTACAGGACTCCACATGTGGATGTGGAGATGTGGATTATATTTGCTCTTGAACAATTAAGGGAGAATTTGAAGCCATTATGAGTTGTGATTTTGCCGAAATAGTTGTCTGCTAACATTTGCGTTTTATATCAATACGTTGTGGTAGAGATTTTTCAGTGAAGTATTAATCATTTCAGACAGGGAATGCAGGGAAAAGCCCAGGATCTGAAATATAAAATATGTGCGAAAATAGCTTCGAAACAGTTTTGAAACTATTGAAATAGCTTCAAAGATGAGTTTAAATTTTAGAAAACATATATGAATTATGGAAAAGACTAGGACTATCATGACTGAAGTACTGCAGACATGATCGAAGAGTCTGAGACTGAAAGCAATTGCTATGCACCATGGATCATGAACATTGTTGTCCAGATGCATTCAACAATAATAATAATCCTTGCATTTGACATAGCGCCTTATCATGACTTGGATATGTCTCAAAGCGCTTCACAGGATACACTGTAAAGTGGAGTGACTGCATATTTTGTGGGCGAAACTCAGCAGCTAAATGAGCGCAGCAGTGTCTCACAAACAGTAGTGGATTGAGTGACTATATTATTATTTCAATGTGCTCCACAGACAAGCACACACACAGGGCTGGTCTCATGGTAAATGTACTGGCCTCTGTTTACCAGGGCTTCTTTCAAGTCTCTTACATTTATTCAATCTTTTAACTTCTCATTAAAATGTACTATTTGGGGTACAGAGGGGAAGTTGGGTGGAACGACCAACAGATCCAGTTGCCCTCGAGTCAAAATTTGTCTTTGCAGC